TCTCCGCCACCACCGCCACCCGTCTACATCTACGCGTCTCCTCCCCCTCCTCACTACTAGAGTACACTAAGCCTTTCCAAGGTACCTTAATTTAACATAAAGTCTAAACTCTCAATGCATCACTATAATCAAATAATTAACTTTGTTCTCATTTAATTACTTTTCTAAGCATCATTAAAGCGAATCTTTATTGTCATTGTAGGAAGCAAAAAGTGGACGTCAGAAAATAAATGGCACGTTGATAAGAGGATTATGATTTGGAACAGGGAAGCCTTGTTGCTGCTGCAGTGTGATGAGTGTTGGAACTTTTTTTCTGTTGTTTAATGTTTAGGATTTGTCGTTTTTTCACTTCCCAAAATTGTGTCTATTTATTACTTATTAATTAGTTGTAATGCACTTACTGTAGCAGTCCACATCCAAAACTATATATTATAAAAATCTCTGCTTTGTAAAATCAAATCAATTTCTGTATTTGTATAATGTAATGCTGCTGCTTCCTTTCTCCAACAAGCCCTTGGTTGTTGCAAAGTTTGCTCATTTCCCCATAACAAAAAAAAAAAATTCTGTTTTTACTCTTCTTCTGTGGGCCCACCATTCTCTTTGGATTCTCTTTTGATTTTTCCTCAATTATTTACTTCCCTTCTCACTCCTCCCCTATTAATAACCTTTTTTTCCGACGTGTCGACATTTTCATTGCATGACATGGAATGGATCGATATTTCTATAGCGTCGAAAAAAAGTTGAAAAAATATTAATGGAATATTATTGATGATGGACATAATATTAATATAAATAATCTTTTTTACTTATTTTAAAATGGTGAATTTCCTTATTTGTTAGTTTAAATATATGGTATGAATTCTTGGACGTTTTTATCAGAATCCACATTGAAAACTTTTCTAGGTAGAAGTTAAAAATTTTTTGGTTATCTTTTATTCTCAATTAAATTATAAGTTTGATCCTAAAATTTTTGAAATGGTTTCTTATATGAATTTTAAGAGTGTTTGAGGTTTCCAAACTTCTAACTTTTGTTTAATAGGTTTTTCAGTGGATTTTGCATTTGTGTCTAATAGATCTGAAAAATTTTCAATTTTGTGTATGACATGTTCATAATCTATTTAACTATTTTTTAAATTGTTCGAATTTATAAGATAGAAAGTTAGAAGCTCTAGAACTTATTAGAAACATTTTAAATTTAAACCCATATTATATACAAAATGAAAATTTGAGGCGCTCTATTTAAAGATTTTTAGATTTTAAATATCTATTAGACACAACCTTAAAAGTCCAATAACTAAACTTGTAATTTAAAATTTTTATCTTTTAAGTTTTAATAAATTTTAGATTCAATTATTATGGTTGAAATTAGTTATGACAAAAAAGTGACATGACTTATTAGTACTACCTTTTTAGTACTACCATATAAATATGAAATACTATTTTCATAAAATCGGAAGATGTTGGTGTAGGGAGCACTTAAAAATATTAACAAGATTAATTTATCTATTAAATAGAATAGAAATTGACTCATAAATAAACCACTTGAACGTTTCTATATACATATTGACAGATAGGTAAATTTTGGAATATTGAACCTCCAACTTCTGAAGAATGAATAAAATATACTCCCTACTAATCTAAAGTTTTCGAGGATACAAAATGCATTCACCCCTGCTATAAACGTGAATATTAATCAATCTTTCCTTCTATTCCGATAGTAAAAATAAAACTGAAATTTATTGGAAATTGTGGGACTAAAACTACAATATAAATTTTGAAAATTAAGCATTAAATTATAGATGAGAGTAAACATAAGGACAAAAACTACATTTTAACCTAAAATATATTATAGGTTTAAAGCCAATTTTGAAAAGTATTTCTCATAAATATTATTTTAATATATATCAGTAAAATAGTGATAATATTTTATTTTATTAAAAACATAAAAAATTATTTGTCTTTCAACATTTTCTAACATAGATTACTAAAATAAATATAGTTGTCAATAAAAATATAGTTCAATAGTTTTGGATCAGATGTCCTAAAAAAAATAATAATAAATATTATAAGTATGGTTGATTTTATATTAAGTTAAAAATGAATCACAGGCTATTTATTTGTAGTCTTCATATTGGGTTCCACATGTGTGGCCTAAAGCGATCGATTTGACGTGATGTCGCATTTAATATTTATATATTAAATAAAAACTTAAATAATTTTTATACGAACTCAAATATTTAATTGAAATAAATGAAAGTTTGATGCTTTTATAATATATATATATATATATATATCTTTCTTTGGACTATGATTTTAGTTAAATCAAGAGAATTACTCTTTTTAAGGTGATTATCCTGAGATTTGAATCCATTATCTCTTCATTAATCTTATCTCTTTGGACAAATGAACTATCCATAATGGTTAACATCTATGAACATAAATGATATAATTGATTAAAACTGTTAAATCATTTTAAAAATAGAGATTTAATTGATAAACATCAGCAATAAGGACCAAATGTATATTTTGGCAAAAAAAAAAAATAGCAATACATTTTCAAACAACACAAGGTTAGATTACAAATTTGGCCTTATGGTTTGGGTATAATTTCAATATAGTCTCTATGGTTTGAAAATTATATGATTGGATACGATTTTAGTTTCAATTTGGTCCGGTTTTAAAGGTTAAAATTGAGTCATTATAGTTTGACTAAAACTTCAAAACCAGTCCTTAAACCATGTTTTACCCACCAAAATCAAAAGCATTTATTCTATTTTTTATTCCATATTAAACTACATACCTAACTCAACTCATTGTCACGTAAATAGAAAACATATCACATATTTAATATCGTAACATTTTGCAATGACAAAAATAAATTTTGAGATTTAACCGAAGTACAATAATGGAATTGGAATTTTTAAAAGTCATTAGGATACAATTGAAATTAAACTCAACCATATGGACATAATTGAAACTTGTGAAACTATAAATGACCAAATTAAGATTATACCTAAACTATAGGGACCAAATGTATAATTTAACCTAAATATTTATATACACTTTACATATTCATACATGTGATGTTGATACCCATACATGTGACGTTGATAGGAAAGTCCTTTAGGAAGTGTTGATAGTGACAAGACAAATACAATGCACAAACAATGTATTAAAAAATTCTTCCATAATTCAAACACTCCATCCCTCATTTTTTTTAATAATTAAAGTTCAATATCCTAACAATAATACTTCCCGCGGGTGGTAGTGTAGTGGGCTTCTGGTCGAATGGAAGATACTCATTTTCTGACTCGAACTCCATAAAGCGCGTAGCTGGAGCTTCTCCCCATTTGAGGACGAGTCTCGCAATGTCGATTACATTGTTGGGTGGCAGTCGACACTCCCAATTATAGAGATTCAACTGACGGAACCATACCACATCGATTTCGAGTTATTAAAAAAATCCTAATAATAATAATGATAATATTAATTAGACTCCATAATTGAAAGAAAAATAACTATATTTAAAAATATATTTCAAAGATAAGGCCAACACAACATTCTAATATAGTATGCAATTATAATGAATTTTAGCATTTCTATTATTTATATCTATGTATATATAATACATAGGAAAAATATAAATAAATACCGTTTGAACTACAAAATAATAAATAAATAAATTTCAAATAAATGCATTATTAACTGACATGAAATCCTTTTTCTCCTAACATGTATACATTCATTAAGGAAGAAGCTTCAAATTCCCGCCATACATGTTTATAAAATAATAATAATAATAATTCCCACCAAAATTTGTTGTACTCAAACTTACGAAATAATTTTTGCTTCTATTTTTATAACTATTTTAAATTATTATTTTATAATATTTTATCTCAATCACTCTAAGATATTATTTAGAGTTACTAGAAAATTCAGCTTGTCAATTATCCATATATTACCTTGCTTTTTCGATTAGGATTAAATAATAAAACTTAAAGAATAAAAGTTTAAAAGTTTTTTATTTTATTTCTAGCGGAGGAAATGTAGGATGGGAGATTCAATCCTCGACCTCTAAGGAAGGAGTAAAGAGTCTTAATCATCAAGTTATGTTCTTGTTGACAATAATATTATTCTTGGAACAATTTTTTTTTTACCGGAAAAAGTTAGCAATGCCAATGCAAAGTAATTTCATTGTTAAGCAGCCGAAAAAACTTGGACAAAACACTATTTAAACAGTTTCATCAGTATAATAATATATAGATACTACGCTTAATTTAAACGTAGATTTATTTAAGAATGATGTGTGGTAGATCAATATTAAAGAATTAATTTTGAATGAAATTTTTAGTATCGATAAAAATAATAGATATTACTGAACTTCATATTAGAAACCTTTTTCCTCCCTGCATCGTCTACTTATATTGACTTATTTATTAAATATGTTTAAATATTATTTTGATCTCTGCATGTTTTACTTCATTTTATTTTGGTCTTTCTATTTTTAAAAAACAAATATTTTGATCCTTATTTATGAAATTTTAACGCAAATTTTATATATAATAAGAACTCTTTGGTACGAATTTATGGTTACATGTCAACTGAAGTATTAGAATGAGATAAAAATAAAATTGAGTAGACCAAAATGATTAATTTCTAAAAGTATAACCAGGACAAAACAGATATTTTGAAAATACATAAACAAAAGTTACAAACTTTTGTATCAAAACATAAATTTAGAGGACCAAAGTAATATTAAATAAGTAAATCTCATCGAAACTTTTAATTATTAAAACAAACCACAATCTAATCAAACTTTTTTTTCTTTTCTTTTCTAGTAGTTTCTCACTTTCTCTCTCTCTCTTCCTCTACTAGAAAGAGAAACATAATTTTGAGTAAAGAAGCCAAGATGGGGATGGAGATTGAAAAAGGAAAGGAAAGAAATTTTGGTATTTTGGTGATGGGAATAGTTGAGGAATATGTCAAAACAGATGGGCATAGCCTAATAGTGCACATAAAAACAAAAACAGAGAAGAAAAGTGGGAGTGAATAATGAGTTGGGAGTTTCACATGCAAAAGTTAGAAGGAGAAATGAAATGGCAAAAAAATGGAGAAGAGAAGCAATTTAAGACTTCTGGTTTTGCTTCTGAAACACTCTTTGGTACCAAACAACATGTCCTCCTAAGAACTTCAACAAAAAACTTTGTCAGATCAAAAGCCTGCTACATTGTTTCTGCATTTGTCTTTTTTCTTTTTTCTTTTTACTCTTTACTTGTTTACCCTTGTGACTTCGAGAACTTGAAATCTAACGGGTGATTTGTATAATATCTATGGATTCCATTTCAAGATCAATTGGTAAGAAGAAGAATAATATCTATGGATTCCATTTCAAGATCAATTGGTAAGGGGAAGAGTAGTCACTATTGTAAACCGTTTTTAGGTCTCTTATCTTTTCAACGTGAGATCTTTAACAATAGGAGGAATGCAGGAACTAGAGATGTTTGAATATGGAAACTTATGTCTTATGTGTATGAGTTGATTGCAATGAGTTTCAAAAGCTTGAAAATGTAAGGTATT